ATATTATATTATATTTTATTATATATATGTATATATATATATGTATACAGAAGATCGACCAACACTGAAAATGACTAGGAGCCCCTAAACCGTAGATCCCCAAACCCTAAACCGCATGACCCAGGTGGATCTGCAGGAGACGCTGGAGAGCTTATGGCATCGTGGATATGGCTGCTTCCTCATCTCAGACCGGTTTCTGGTTCCTGTCAGCGGTGGCTGGTTCCATCCGTTGTATCGTTTGTCCTCCCAGGGAGGGTTCGTCATGAATGCAGATTTCTTTTGCGCACAAATCCATGACCCGGATCTGCTGGCAGTGATAGAGGGCTTCGTAACTCGAAGTAATATGCCTAAGGCCAAGGAGATAGTCAAAAACGCCTTGGAACAATGGCGCCAAGCACAACCAGAATTGCGACAGTCTGTGGCGGAGAAATACGACCTTGAAAGGCTGCCCAGAGGGCAGAACCTCGACAAATCCTTGCAGGCATTTTACGTTGCGGATCTGCTGCGCAGCGGATATGGCGCCTGGCCAAACCACAAAGAACGACTGGCTGCCCTGAAGTACTTCAGGAGATCCATCTTTGCTGCTCAAGGAGCTGGAAAGGATAGACGTCTCGCAAGGCCTGGAGCCTTTGAGCTTGGCAACTGTTACTACTTCGGAGAGTGCGGCGGACGCAGCCTAAATCAGGCTATTCGATGGTATCGAAGGAGCCTGGCATATCTTCCCAACGATGGCTATGCCATGACCATGTTGATGATCAGCTACTTCGCCTTTCTAGTCTCTTTTGCTGGCTACTGTTATTAACTCATGTCTTCTTGGCGTTTGTAGCGAGCTGTTCATGACAGGCATCATCGAGTCGCACCTGAACCATGTGAACTCGAGCAATTCCAGAGATCAACCCCAAATTCACCAGGGGCTGAACAGAAGTCGATGGCTGGGTCAAAAGAGTCCGCGGGCCTTTCGAGTCTCGGTGTCCTCTTTGTCTCAGACCTGAAGCCTCCACTGAGCCCTACAGCCAAAAAGCCGCAAGCCCTGAGCCTGAGCCCTATAAACCCTAAACCCTAAACTCTAAACCCTAAACCCTAAACTCTAAACCCTAAACCCTAAACTCTAAACCCTAAACCCTAAGCCCTAAGCCTAAGCCCTTGAAGACTTGACGTGTTGAGCTTCAGCTCTGGGCGTGAGCTCAGCGAACTTGCGCACTTCACTGGCTATCGGGATGTCAGAACCAAGGCACTAAACGAGGCAAGGATCCGCAGTCGCTTCTCTTAAACCCTAAATATCTAAAGCCCGAAACCAGAAACTCAACGCCCAAAGCCTGGAGACGACGAGCCAGGTATTGCATGCCGGAGTTTACTTGTAGCGTGTCGCATTCTTTGATTACTGCACGGCGTACCGTCAATGATGTAGGGCACGTGTCAGCATGCCTTGGCTGTCGGTCACGAGTCCTTCTCGTAGTGGGAAGTTCTCAAAATTAGGCTCCCTTTTAGGGTCCTTCTCCTAAGGGTGCCGTACTATTTCGGGGACCTAGAAAGGGACCCCAATTTGGAGAACTACCCCCATCAGTAGCCTCGCCCAGCCATTTCCGTGAGTGGATGAACGCATTCCATCATAATCACTTCAGTAAGAGAGCCATACGTATCAGAAGAGCCCGAAAAGGGACCCTGTGCTGGTGGATCTATGCTTTGCCATTCATCCCCCCAAGCCTGCCTGCGCACTGTGCAGATCCTGAGCCGGAAACCGCGACATCTTCAACCTAATATAGAAGCCTATATAATTACACACACACACACACACCCCACACACACACACAATTTTGGGCCTTTTTTTAATGGAATATACCCCCAAACCCTATATTTAAAGTATTAAGGCCTCTATGTTACAGGCAACCTTGGCCCGAAGATGCCTCTGGACGCGGGCAAAAAAAGAGCGCAACAAGAAGCACAAAGAGCTTTAGGGTTCAGGGTATTAGGGTTTAGGGTTTAGGGTTCAGGGTATTCTAAAACAGAGGTCACGTGCCTGAAGTTCTCCCGGCCGGAGTCGGTAAAATCCCAAAACCCTCAGCTCTCAACCCTAAAACCCTAAACCCTAAAACCCTAAACCCGAAAACCCTAAACCCTAAACCCTACAACCCTTAACCATAAAATCCTAAACCAAAAAACCCTAAACCCTACAACCCTAAAGCCCTAAACCCTAAAACCCTAAACCCTGCAACCCTAAACCATAAAATCCTAAACCCAAAAACCCTAAACCCTAAAACCCTAAACCCTAAAACCCTAAGCCATAAATCATAAAACCCCAAGCCCCGAGGTTCGGACTGCTACAGCGATGTACAGGAACTCTGAAGGGCCCCGGGACGTTCTGCGGCGGAGACCAAAGTGTCTCGAAGATGAGAGCAGGCGGTGTAGAAGGTGGGTTTTAGGGTTTAGGGGTTTAGGGGTCTAGGGTTTAGGGTTTAGGGGTTCAGGGTTTCAGGGTTTCAGGGTTTAGGGGTTTAGGGGTTTAGGGTTGCCGGGTAGGGGGTTCAGCCTCGGCGACTCGGGTTTGGGGATGCTGCGCTCCTCGTAGACTTCGATGTCGTTTCAGGTCTGGGTGTGTTGCTTCATTCTCTCAGGGGCCCTAATAGGAAGCCTTACAGTAACCAAGGAACCCATCGTTATATTTCAGGTTCCATGCTTCCCGTCGTCGGGCTCCCCTCTTCCGTAGAGCCTAGTTTGCCCTTAAGCACTAGGCAGCCCAGTCCCCCAAAGACCAAGTCCGTTCCAATCCAACATGGAGGATACCATCTTGTCCAAAGGCCCCCTAAACCCAAAACCCTAGTTCGAAGTTAGGCTGCCTCCCATGCCCTAAACCCCAAAACTCTGCATCCTCTGAAGCCTCATACCCCGCAACCCTAAACCCCGGAACACTTACCCCCTAAAGGCCTAAACCCCCAATCTCTAAAGGCCTACGACCTAACCCCTAAAGGCCCAGACCCCCGAACTGATACCGTTACTTCAAACCCCAAGACTCTATAATAGCATGGTGTGTCCCAAGACTACATTAAAAAATATTAGTCATAGAGACTCTGCAGCAGTGTGTATATTTATATTCGCTTATATATATATATACATACACATGTATATTCATCTAATTGTTATACTAATCGTCATATACCTATTTATTTATATACACCATTCGCTTATATATGTATATTCATTTATTTATTATGCTAATATTCATATGTTTATGTACATACCCCAAGACTCTGCATGATATGTGAGCCCGAAAGCCCTGATTGTGTAGCCATCGGCTCGAAAGGTCTCCCAGCTCGGCTGGGCTTAGGGCGTGAGAGGCTTCGACGTGTGAAATATAGAGTCCTGTAATTTAGGGTTCCTAGGGTTTAGGGTTTAGGGTTTAGGTTTAGGGTTTCTGTAATTTAGGGCTCCTAGGGTTTAGGGTTTAGGTTTTGGGTTTAGGGTTCAGGGTGCAAAAATAGAAGCTTGCATAAACGAGTACTCCGAATCATGTGTTGATAATCTTCTCCACGTGGGGCACTGGCGCATTTGGGGTTTGAGGCGGTGTGTGTTTGGGTTTGTGGTTTCAGATGTCGAGGCTTTGAGGACTTGAGACATTGAGTACACTTGAAACCCGAAACCCGTGAAACTCCAGCTGACCGTGGTTCCCACGTTCTTCTAGTGAAATGATTCGGAAACAGGGGGCACCGACACCCGTGGGTAGAGGATACAGTGCTGGAGAGATGGCGGGGGCCTAAACCCTAAACCCTCAAGGTGTGATTGGTTCACTGAGTTCGCTGATCTTCTGAAAGTTTGCTTTTGCCTCATGGCGTCTGCGGCCAGCGCTGCCGCAAGATGTGTCCTAGACTCGGGGGATGGTCCCGCATGCAGCGGTCGTCATGTAATGGCCTGAAGAATGACCAATACTGTACTCTTCCCTAGGGCCCCAGGGTCCTTGCTATCTATCTATCTATCTATCTATCTATCTATCTATCCGTCCTTGCTATCGATCTATCTATCTATCTATCTATCTATCTATCTATCTATCTATCTATATATATATATATCTCTCTCTCTCTCTCTCTCGCTCTCTCGCTCTCTCTCTATCTATAATACCTGACTTCTGTTCAAGTTTTCGCGCGATCGGCAGTGTCATTGGTACTGCTGATGAAGATTTCTGGAGTCCAAAGTTGCGAAGTGCCATTTCGGAGCCTGAGCAACCATTCTGCTGCTTACGCCACGGAATTCCTGGCTCATTCACTGTCACTCCAGTTGCGAATGACACTGCTTTGCTTTGTCTGATGCTGAATTCTGGATTGTATCAATTGAACAGAGCCACCGATGGTACTGCAATGCCGACTGAGCCTGTCCAAGACTTTATTGGTGAGTTGACGAAGGATGAGAACAGAGTTTGGTTTTCGCGACTTGTGAAGTTGAGACATGGCAAAGCGACCAGTGGCGATCTTGAGTGGACGACACGACTCAGTTTCACAATCGATGAGTTAGCTCAAACTGAGAAAACTGTTGCCGTGGGTGTGATTGACAAGCATGTCGTCACTCCATGTGTGTTTTGCAGTTTCGGCAACCTCAAGACAGCAAAAGATAGGTGCCGTCGTCGTCAGAAAGCGCTTGATGCATTCGAGGATCTACAACTGAAGAGGATCTCAGAGGACTCAAAAACAAGACAATCCTTACAAGAAAAGTTCCATCAGGTCGGTTTGCGGTGAGTTGCGAGCCACAGGTTCGCGAACTCATGTACTGCAGCCTTTTGCTAAGCCAGTGAAGATTGGCGAGCACGGTCAGTCGTTGACTCCCATTCCAGGTTGGTTGAAGCGTAGCTCTGGTCTGGTGTGATTCACACTTACACGACACGCTATGCTCCGCCTGACGTGTGGTTTGCACGCTGGTCCGGGCTGAAGCATACATCTGAAGTCTTTGATGACACAAGGATGATGGCTGATGTTGCTGAGCTGCTCAAAATGGTGAACTTGCTGCATCTTCAGAATCCAGCCAAGCGAAAGAACCCAGATGCGAGACGTCTGTGGTGGGCTGATATCTGGAGAGAGCTCGGATCTAACGGTCTGAGTGTTTTTCCCTGTTGGAATATGCAAAGAACAGTGTCCAAGAAAAGTCCACTTACCCTGCGATCGAGACGGCGGATGTGGCAATTGCTGATTCAGAAAAGAAGTATTACAAGGAAGGACACAAAAAGGCGTCCAAGTTCTGCGAAGCGATCTGCGCCCTTGCTGCATACGTCAAACAGCTGAATCCAAGGTGCATTGAAACGGTGTACAACCTTGGTGACAGGTTGAGCCTTGCAAAAGCAGGGACCCTTCGTGAGTACTGGTCTGAGACTGAACTCAGTGGTAGTTTGCTTGATGGCTATCAGCAACAATTGGCTTTCAGCACTCACTCACAATTGGCGCAGGCACCTGTGTGTCCTGCGACTGATGACCTTTACAAGAGGGTGTCAGCTGGTATTCTTGATGAAACCAAGACAAGTAAGACAGCCTCCTGTGAAGTGCAACAGTCAATCAAAGAAGCTGAGATCCAATTCAAGCAGACGACGGGTGAAGAATGGACCCTTGACCACAAGTTTGACGCTGCAGTTGCGCGCGTTGCGCGCATTCCAGGTCAGGGTTTTGTTCATGACTCACTTAAGGCAGCAGTGCGTGACGCTGCCTGCCCACCAGGACAGTTGCCAAAGACATGGCGCAAAGTTGTCCTCGGTTCTGGGTCCGTTGAAACATCACGTGCTGAGAGA